CATATAAAATATTTTCACTTAATATCCACATTAAGATTCACTTAATACTAATCTTTTAACTTTTCACTTAAAAAATGTTCAAGGCCAGGCTGGATGGTGCTCTAAGTAACTGGTTTAGAGGAAGGTGGTCCTGTTCATGATAGGGGCATTGGAATGAAATGATCTTTAAGGTCTCTTCCAACCCAAACCATTCTATGATTCTGTGAATATGCAGTATCTTTCAAATTGTTCTAATGCCAAATGCCTCAGTTGTTTCTGTCATGTAAAGTAACTGCTTCTGGTCCATAGTGTAATGATGCCTGCTAGTGCATAGATTTGGTATGTTTGCCCTTTGAGAAGTAAAGTTTTTATCAGTTTATAGTTTTATCAGTTGCTGTGAAGTACATCTTTTATTTTTATTCTGAAGGAAAAACCTCAGGAGTAGTCAAGTTTCCTCTGTGCACACAGGAGTCTTGCATATTGTTTGACTTCACAGATGCCACATTTCACTTACCCTTCCTATTTCTTCTTTTCATATTACAGTCACTTCATCTCCTTGGCATTTTTTATGAGTCAGAGTTGACCAAACCAATCTTCCAAGGTTAATTATTAATTTGATTCATCAATAATTCAAGTATTTTTTTTCAGCTATGTGATGTCATCTGTGTTAGTTAAGGACCTTAACTTTAGATCATCTCAAGTCATGCCCTCTACCTCATTTATCATTCTTACTGTCTAGTTTAAAAATATGATGAAAAGCTGTAGTGATTCTATGCTTCCTTATATTATAACAAGCATTGAAGTTGTTTAATTTTTCATTTTTTTTTTTACAATGCTGCAAGAGTCTTCAAACACAGCTTTCATAATTGCTGTTATAACTCCTGCATGCCATGTGACTTTGCAGCTTTTCACGATGTTTCCAATCAAACTGAAACAAAAGTCCATGAAAAGGACAAACATCACTATTGGTCTTTTCATTTTCTTCAATAGCCAGCAGAGCATGCATTCCCAGGCAGTGCAGCTTAGGTGTGGTTTGAGGTTGCCCTAAATGTCTTCCCCTTTTTCTCTTTAAAATGGCTTCTATCTACAAATTATTGCCATGATTTTCCTGAGTTATATTTCAGCAGAATCTTTTTACCAAGTCTGGTCAATTATTAATGGTAGTCAGTTCTATATTTCTTCTTCCCCTTATACATAATTCCACCAAAATTGACTGGAAAGTCAAAATGGTCCCAACATTTTCTTTAGCGTCATATTTTTCTTTAGCCACCGTGATTAGTCTCAGCTTAACCATTTTGTACATTCGTTCTATTTTTATATTCACAGGATCACATAATGGCTCAGGTCGGAAGGGACCACAGTGGGTCATCTGATCCAACCTCCCTGCTCAGGCAGGGTCATCCTGGAGTACATGGCACAGGATTGTGTTCAGATGCTTGTTGAATACCTTCAGTGAGGGAGACTCCACAATCTCTCTGGGCAAGCTGTTCCAGTGCCTGGTCACCTTTCTGTCTATTGCCTCTTGCCCTACTGCTTAGCACCACAGAGAAGAGCCTGGTCCATCCTCTTGACACCCTCCCCTCAAATACTAATAGACATTGATGAGGTTCCCTATCAGTTGTCTCTTCTCAAGGTTGAACAGGCCCAAATCTCTTAGCCTTTCCTTGTAAGAGAGATGCTCCGGTCCCTTAATCATCTTTAGCTCTGTGATCTTTAAATATCAACAAACTCTCTTGGACCCCTCTGAAAATACAGGAAATTTACAGAAGAATTTGATTGTGTCAATGTCTCAGCAGGGGTACAAAGGATACCTCATATTCCTATCTTCTGGTTACGTCTTTGGCTGCTTGTGCTTGCTCGATGTGTTCCCTCTTAACCCTCCTTTTGCTAATAGGCTGGTCGCTATAATTCTCCCTTTCCCACAGTTCATCTCTGTTGAGCCTGGCCTTGTTCCCATCCTCCTTCAAGTCTAATTTAAAGCTCTAGATTACTGATCTCTTTAAGTGCTGTTTTGTTTCCAAAACTTTTATCAGTCTCATTTTAGAAATGTCTTCATTCCTTACAATGTCATCACACTTTCAGCTTTCCCTAGAACTATGATTTTTTTTGTATCTCAATTTTTATAAAACTTATCCGACTCTTTCTGTCTTTATATCTTCCAATAATTTTCTTTCCTGAACTTAGTTTTGGTTTCCTGAATATTCCCTGTCCAGTCTGTAATGAGATTTCTTCATCAACATGAATTAATGGACTGCAAAAATGCCTAAATGGTACCTTGAATATCTTCCTCATAGAACTTTCTTTTTATTAAAATTGAATTTGATTTCAAGTACAACAAATTTTGTAATCTCAGAGTTGTTGTTTTTTTCACTTAACCTTCTTTCCCACAGGGCTTTCATGAACAGTGGCATTTTCTACTCTCCCACGTTTAACAGCCAATGCCTTTATTAATAATAAAGTGCTCTCTTTTCCCTTTAGTATTGGTAAACGACAAATTCCATAAAAGCTCCTGATGTCTTTAGGAGAAATCCACCTGCAGCCTGTAATCAAACTGTGCATCTCAAGGCAACCCTGAACTTTGCCCTGGACAGTATGAGAGAAAGAAATTACTGAGGGGGGATGTTACCCAGATTTAAACTGGGTTTAGTATTTTTGTCAAGAAACTGAATAACAACATCTGTTTTAAAAAAAGTAATGTCTGCTTTCAAGAATCATCAACTACCTACACTGACATATCCTTCTCCTAATAATCCAGAAGGGACTATTGAAATAATAACAAGTTACAAATTTGTGAGAATTGCTTTTGTAAAAAGATGATTTCACCATTAAAATAATTATTTTTTTAAATGATTAGCCCTCACAGTCACTATTTAAAAGTAAACTGTGTCTATTGTTCTTGAATTTCTGATCAATTTTGTCTCATGTAGTGGGTGGGCTGCTATCAGATGTTTGGCAGACTACAATGCAAATTAAGTTTTTTAGTCTATGGGAATATCCATTAACCATACACATTTCCAAACTTTAAAATACATGCTTGAAAATTACAGTTGATTAGATTCTTTGTTGTGAATTGCAGAACAAAAGCTGAAAATCCAGCTCTGCTTTTCATGTATTATATCAAACAATGATGCAATTCCACCATTGTACAGAATAAAAGGTGTGTTCATGTTTGAAGAACACAGTGTTCATAAAGTTTAATCTGCAGTCTTATGTTCAGAGAGGTTTGTAAATCGATTCTTCACTAGATGCTGTAATTCTTGTCGATTTAAGATAAATGGCTGAATTCCAAGAGAATACAACACAAAGAAAACCATTAGCCCTGACAATTCATAAACAAAGTAAAGAATATTATTCACTCTTTGTTCTTGTAAAATAGTATCCAGGTTTCAAACACTAAAAAGGAAGCTCAAATAAACCATTGCAATTATTTAGTCAAAATGTGTTTGTTTATGAACAAAAAAAAGAAAAAAGGCTGGTTTCTTCATAAGAAGTAAAAAGAAGGAGAAGAGACAGGAGAAACCTCCATCCTAATCCCTACAGTTATGTTAATAGGTACAGCTTTGTTTTCAGCCTTTTTTGTTTTATTATCTCAATCTTGCTGACCTATTTCTTCATTGAAAAAAGAGTGTCTGAAGCACAACGAATGCTTCTGGGTCAGAGGTTCCCAGTGTCTGTGCACCATGGTGACAGTCTCAGGAGATTTTCAACCAGTAAGAGTTTTCACAAATCTCTCATGAAAACCTTCAGGTTACCGAAGTGTAGGAGGGTTGAGGCTTGGTGTGGGGTTTATTTTGCACTGTATGCATTTGTCTTCAGCCTTTGTGAATTTGAGATTCCCTGGATCACTTGGCTGCCTAGTCCCAGAAATTAAAATATATTTTACTTTTCTTTCTGTGACATTAAAAATGCATTGCAATGAATAATATAGTAGGACTGTGTATAAAACTAAGGCTTCTGCATTCCTTTTAAATGTTTGTTCTTTAGCAGAGATTCTCTGAGGGAAACTTATTGAAAGGATGAACAGTAATTTAATTTTTTATCATAAGCATTAGTGGAAAATAAAGGACAAAAGTACTTTGCAGGGCTGAAGAAAAGGAAAAGATATTTATCAGGGGAAAATACTTCATCTGGGCTGAATCTCTGGCACTGTGTATTCTTTTTCTGTTCAAAGAGTGGCAATAAGGAGATTAATATTTAGACTCTAGAATCATTTCCTATTTATGTCATAAGCAGCAAGTACTAAAGTAACTTACCATGAAAGCGTGCTTAAAAAAAGGGTACAGTCAATAGATAAAAGTAAAGTTTTTGTGAGAAGTCATTTTTAAATTCTGCAAATAAATTCAGTAACTACTGGGTGTCCCCAGTAATATTCTGAAAGAATGTTAAAAGTAATAACAGGTCAAATCAACAAATCATACATATCAGTATTTCTGATACATGGAAGACCTGCACTTTTGGAAGACGTAGTAAGAAAATTGTTCCAGGAATTTACCAGATGTTCACAGATTTAAAATATCATGCCACATCACTGCAATTTCAGGGAGAAGAAATAAGTGCTGCTGAAAGATGAAAGATTATGGAAGTTAAGATATGCATAGAACTCTTCAGTTCAGGTACCATTTGTGATATTCACTCATGAACAACTTTTTCTGATATCAGTGTGAACTCATACATAACAAGGAGTAGGTCTTTTTACACTGCCAAAGGGAAGGAAAGAAAAATAAAAGCAGCAATGTTCTTTCCACTTCCCAAAAGAAACTATCAGTTGATAAATTGAAGTCTAAAAACACAGCATCGAACCTACCAAGTATTTAATTTTCTTTGCAAATACCTCATGAACTGACATCCTTTATAAAAGCCAACAGACAGTTTGGTTTCAGTAGGTCAAATAGATTTGTTGAGGCACATACTCCTGTTTCATTCCTGCATCACAGGTGCTATCCAGTTTTGTTATTTTTTTTGCCTAAAAGGTAGATAAGTTTTTTCTTCAGGGCAGTCTCAGACCCACCAATAAGATTGTAGTACAGTAAATTGACAATAAAATACTGGAGTTTCTGGAGTATCTGTTTAAAAGAACCCATTTGTAAAGTCCATCTGTAATAGTAAATCACTAGTGACTGTTATATATTGTATCAGTTTCTCCCAGTTCTTGTAGCTACATATCTTTCTCTCTCTCCCTCTCTCTCTCTCTTCCTCTCACATAACACACAGAGAAAATTTTCCTGTTACAAATTGTAAGAATTGTTTTTCCTCACATCCTTCCCAAAAACATGGCTATTCACTAGCAATTTGCCAAAACTTGATAATGCTAAAATAACGTCTTGCACGTACTATCCCAAAAATGAGAAGAGAACTGATTTGCAGAAGAAATCCTTCATGTAGAAGCCTTGAGACAAGAATACTAGCTATGAACAAAAAATATCCTATGTGATGGGAATTTCTGTGTGAACTGCTTCCAAAACCCAAGTTAATCTATATTGAAAGTGCCATTTTCAAGCTGAATGAGCTGTTACAAAGCCTTACTGTTACTGTTTCTATTTTTGTCCTTGTTATTATTCTAAGCACACTTATTGTTTGGGGAGCAATGAAAACTGTATAATGTTCAAAGGCAGAAAGTATCAGTATTTAGTGCAAGCCTTTTGTCACTCTTCTCACAGCAAATCACTTGTAATAGCAATGGTGTAAAAAATGACGATGGCCCCACCAAACTTGCAGCATTCTGCACTTCAGTTTACCAGGGCTGCACTAGCTGCAGGTTAAAAGAAGCATGACTAAGTCAGTCAAGGAAAATGCTTTACCCTCAAGGCTTTCTAGTCCACTCCACAATATGGGGATGTCTCAGCCACTTTCAAAGGAATGGGAGATTTGTAGGGTAGACGGTACCAATTATGTGTAATCAGGAGTCAATGCAGACTTCAGAGCACCAAAACTTTCCACATATCACATGTCAGTTATATTACTGACATTTTTTGCAACTTCCTGATATTTTGAAAATCCTCAGATTGTAATTTAGATTATTAAAACCTTGGTTTGAGAGAGCAATGGGAAAGCAAAAGTTCACTACTGCACTTTCTCAATAGAAGGGCTGTGTCCAAAAAAGGAGGTTTGGCTTTAAACACATTCTTGTCTAATGCAATCTAATCTAGCCACCAAGTCAAAGCTTAATACAGAAAGATCTTATCCTGAAACAACTGGTATGGTTGGATATGTTTTCTGTGCTCATGTGTATGTTTTGTTTATGTATGTATAGATGTGGTCATGACTTGTGTGGGCACAAGCCAAAAATAGTTAGAAGCAGTGTGTATTCTAATGATGTTTAGTGCCATGATACTGAGCGAAACAGCAGAAGTAGGAAATCTCATGGCAAACTTATTCTTGTGCTATGGAACTGAACAGGTCCTCTAGCAAGAGGAAGCCCAAGAAAAGAAACAGTTATACAGTTTGTATTCTTTCTTAAGATGAAAAGTGAAATCAATTTGGGAAGTAAAAATACAGGTCACAGGAAGAACAGGAAAGGAACAAAGAGACAGAAGTAGTTGCATAGAGAAATGTCAGGTAAGCCTATTTGGTGAAAGCACTTGAAAGCACTTTGGAAAATAACAATGGTCTCCAAGGATTTCTGATGGAGCAGTCTCACATTCTATAATTTGCACTGAAGGCTCTCACATACAAGCAGCATCTTGAAATGTCACCTTTTCTCATCTCTAATCTCTCCAGTGGATGTCCAGCTAAGTACCTGGGGATCTCACAGCAACTAAGCTGTTAAACTTTTATCACCTGAAAGAGTAAACCTCGTCACCTTGAACAGGATTTTCTTCACGGGAATCTAGTACTATGAATTGGAGTCAGGACTTTTCTGCTATTACCATCCAAAATGTAAAACCCAAGTGTTAATATTCTGTAATGAAGACATGCAGAAGGGGAAGTAAATACCTAGAGAAAGGTAAGGAGCATAGGCAGGTAGTGTTGTTGGTCCAGAACTTGTGAACAGTCTCACGTCTAACACTGTGACCTTGGGTAAGCAGCCTGACTTGCCTGCATTTCAGTTTTGTCTTCTCTAAATTAGTGGACTTTGGTGCCAAAGAGACTTTAAGACATGTAATCAATGCATACACACAGTTTTGAGGGCATTACTTTTTGCAGGTACTAATTTTGATATCTGGTATTCTAAGCTATTGTTTGATTTTTCTCCTTTGGTACATGCTGGTGACTTCTCTGTACATTTAAAATCCTGAACAGTTCACAGAGCCGAAATAGAGCAGGACTCTTGGAGATAATCAAATTGGGAGGCCAATATGGAAAAAGGCTACAGAGTTTGAAAAGCAATGTGTGGAAGAGATAGGTAATAAATGATTATTCTTTATGCCTCATAAAACAACTAGAGAAGTATCCCTCCCAACCCTGCCCCAAGAGTCCTTTCACCAGGAATTAAGTGTAAGAAGAAGAATAAGGTGTCATCCCATGAAATGGTGGAATGCAATCAATTACTGTAGCATGCTTTGAAAGTTAAAGATAGTAAAGAATTTGAAGAGGAATTGTATTCAAGAGGGGCAGGAACTATAAAGCAGACAATTGTTTGCCTAGGCATGGCATAAACTGCTGACTGCCTCAAAATGAGATTATCCTGTCAGGAGAAAGACTGCCCTACACTTAGGTTCTTTCTTACACTTTTTTTGCTATGCCCCTGCCAGGTGGACATGTGATCCTTTGCAAGGTGACCCTTGGCTCTGATCTAGTTGAGCCGTTCTTATATTCCCACACTGAAGGTTTAGTTCCCACTGGAAATGAGAACAATAACACTTTGCCTCTTTCACCTTTGTAGTGGAAGGAAGAAAAAATGATGGCAAGAAAGGACATGACTGCTTGTGATTGCAGTCCTCAAGCCAGCTCAGTAATGCTTCTGGGAAAGCAAAAATGGGATGCAAGATGAATGAGAGACTGGTGCAAAAGAGGAGAGAGACTGCAGAGCTCTCCCTACAGACTCTGCATATATGAGGTGGAAGTAAGCAGTTACTACACAACTGGACTCATCATGTGGGTAACCTGTCATCCAAGAATCCAAATTACAGTTTACCCCTTTAATAAGGTCCTAATACCCTGTGGACAAAATGCAACACTCCTTGAGTTCATTTAGTCACATGGAATAACAAGACTGTAATCCCTGGTGGATATAATAATCTCCGAGCAGTTCACTAAATGTGAACTCGGCGTGTTCTATGATTTTGTGATTTCTATTCAATCTAGCTCTAGAGAACAAGAGAAAAAGAAATACCACTGCAGTGGGAATCCTGACTAAGGCTATCACTAGAAATGCCAACAGTCTTCTAGTTCTGATCACAAGTGTTATTTTTCTACATAATAAGGAGAGCATGAGAGAGGAAAATCATAATGCAGGTTCTTGTTCTATTCTTTTTTTTTTTTTTTTTTGAGCACAGGCCTGTTGTCTGCAATGTCTCACAAGTACTAGAGGCACTAAATATTTTTAACAGAACTCAGAACTCTCCTGCAGAAGAAAGATTTTTCCCATACAATGTCTACATTGAATGGAAATATTTAAAAGTCTAGGAACACCTGGATAATAAATATCTGAATCTTTTTCTTACTTAATCTATAACACCCTTTTTCTGACTTCCTCAAATGATATTTTGATGGGTTTTGTTTAGGTTTTTTGGGGGTTTTGGGGTTTATTTAACAGATCATGCTATGCTTTAATGCTGCTAGCAAAACTTTCTGTATTGCATTACACCTCTTATTTTCTCCGTCTGTTTTCTCTGATTTACACTAAAAGGGGGAGAATAACACTGTTAAACTGTTCAGTAGGTCACTGTAAAGCAGTAAAGTAACTGAATTCAAATACTGGATTAAGTTCCAGATGGTTGCTGCTTCGAAGTTCGGCAAAGAATGGCTGCAGCGGCGGAGGATTGATCATCCCTTTTCTGGAAGGACGCGACACTACATTGTTGCTGATCAACAGCGCCACTTTCTGCTGAAAGAAAATCATTACGTCTCGGGGAGAGGCAGTCTGGTAAACTGATTTCAGTGACTTGACGCAAATCACAAACCTTCCTCCTTGGTAGCTGGCTGGCTGTATAAGAAACTTCTTCATCAAAATACGTGAAGTGCATTCCAGAAATGTTGCAGTCTGATAATGAGGCCTGATGCTTAGATGGAAATGGAAAAATGCATGTTTGCTTTAGAGTTTTGTTCAAACAATTTCATTCTTACTTCCCCACCAGCATCACCACCATCTTGACCATTCGTGCATCACAACCTTATGTCTATAGTCTAATGAATGATGTAAATGCTGTGATTTATACATAAAATAAAATCTTGTGAAGACTGCATTATTTCATGTCATTGCCTATTTCAACAAATGCACATAAGAGTTCATGAAGATTCTTCACGGAAACAGACTTTTTTTAAAAATATTTTCGTGTATAATCCAGTGGGTATTGATAACTGCTAAAGCTCACAAACTATCTAGCATGACAGCCAGAGAAGTAGCTGTATTTACTGCCTGGTTCTGTTTAGGTAAAAAAAAAAAAAAATTTATACTTTAGGTATTCTTCATAACTATTTCTGACATCAACTCTTCACACTTTTGCTGGCAGCAAATTAAACAGTACAGAAATCTCAGGTACCCAGGAAAACTGCCGAAACCGCTTTTTAAATGTTGTTATTACTATCATACATTTAAGTATCTCCAAAGTAAGGAAATAAGGAGCAAATAATGCCACGCTTAAGTATATATATATTAGATATATATATATACATATATCCCAAATCTTTGTTCATGAAGCCTAGTCATGATGATGATGGTACATATATATATATGTAGCTGAGTGTTTAACAAGTATGCAAAAATACGTTGCAGATAGAGAAAGATGAAAATAAATATTGTTTATTTCAAAATCTTTCTTAAATTCTGTGAAATTAATACAGCACAATAGTGACATATGCATGAGATTGAAGGATCATGACTAAACTTCAGTGTCAAAGGCTTCACTGCATTTTCTGAAGCAGGAAAGTTCAAAGAACATCATAATCTGGTAACCACCAAGCAGGACTTTCCACTGGCAATGTTGTTCATACCTGCATACCAAAATTCAGTCATAAAACTTAATGCATAATATGCATAAAATGCACAAAACATGTATTTCTCTGGTAGAGGCATTAGGGTGCACTGAATGACTTTTTTTTTTTGAAATCTGTCACATATTGTGTTCAGCTCTCACAGTAAATTCTCTAGAATAAAGTGGATAATGCTACTGTTTCTTGGCTCTCCCCTTACATTAACTGAAGTATTTGTTACACTCATTGCCATTTTCTGTTTCCTGGCTTTCAAGAGTAGTATTAATAGAAGTGGAGGTGTATTATCTTATCAGGACTTTATATTTTCAAATATCCAGGATGCTCTCATGTTGTCTGCTTCCTACATAAAAGCTGACTTGGAAAAGAGAGACTTTTTCCCCACAATCGATATCTGAACAAGTGCTATCCAGCACAAACATCTATAGTCTAGACATTAAAGCAAACCTTTCAGCAGCGCATCCTGATTTCTGCTGTGTAGCATGACCGTGGCAGTTTATTAAAGAATCTCTTTCAGTCTCCAAGTTGATGCTTTGCAGCATGAATCCCAGACTTTGGAGGCTCTCTTCCCTGCAAGAAAAGGCATGTGGTGAAGGATCAAGCAAGTAAGAGATCTAGACTGGGATAGAAGAATGTGCCTCAAAACTGCTAATGATTATCTAACAGGATCTGTAATCAGGCGCTGCAAAGGAGAGCCCACAAAACCCACTGAAGTGAGGGATGAGTAATAACCATCCCCAATAAAAAAAAGTTAAAAAGAAAGGCAGCCTTGCAAATTTTTCTTGAAGACTTTTGCTCTTAGGGAAAAACAAAGTGTATGAAAGTCCAGTAACAAAATCAAATACCATCTTCCCTGTGTGAAGCCAACTAAAGCCCTACCCACTAGCAAAGCCTCTCCTTACAGGGTTCCAGAGGTTTTCTTTTACAACTGAATTTGGCTCTTTTAGCTGTAATGTCTTCCCACACATCAGTACCTGCCTCCTTCACCAAAGCATACAAAGGAGATGAGGGACTTAATAATCTAATCCTGCCACAACTTTCAGAGCCGTAGGAAGGAGGCGAGTGGGGAACCTGCTGTCTTGAAATTACTGTTTAAGAGAGCAAAAGCTCTCCTAGTATGTTTTCAGGGATTTTTCAGTTGTTTGCAGGCTTGTTGTGTTTTGCTTCACACACAAAATAATACTACGATTTCTGGTCATTCCAGGGTTTTTTACATAACAAGGCATAGCAGAATCTGGTGTCTACTCATTATTTACAATGTCATTTAAGTGCACGGCAAAGACTTGCAAGTGAACTATTTAGTATTTTCTTTGCAAGGACAGAAGAGCTAAAGACGGTGATTACAAATCACTCTGGGGCACGCCTATAAACTCCAAGTAATCCATTGAAGGGAGATAATGCTAACATATAATGGGAGCAAGGAGATCAGTAATCCCTTTTCTCTGTAATACTAGGAAACATCAATATGCATGGCTCTGCTAATGCAATGTGCGTTGTTTAGAAAGTCAGAATGAGGCACAAAAAGAACAAGATTAGAAACCCATGAAAGCGTGTCCTGTACACCGATTGGATGGAAAACGCTTTTGTGCTGCAGCTGAGCAGCAAAAATCCAGAGACTTGTTTCATTACTACCAAACTTGAATGTCGAAATCAGAATTTCCATCACTTTGGAGCTAATTCTTACCAGAAATCGTGGCTTTACTAGCACATACAGTAGTCTTCGCTTCTTGGAGTTTCACAGGCTGTTTTTCCTACTAATAATTAAAGTCTAGGATGTTACAAAAGCCTGTTAAAAATCTCTTATCTCCTAAGAAAACTTTTCTTCCTATCAGCCCTCTAATCTCCCAAGCAAAATACTGCTGCACAACATACTTGGAGGTGGCTTGCAGCAGGGTAAACATCTCCACCCTTGGGCTGGCATAGGCTTGTAGGAGCTTTGGCTGTGAAGCAGGTAACAGCTCTTTTGAGCCCAAATCCACAATTTTGGCATCTATAACCTAGCACAGCTGTGCAAAAGGCTTCTGTTCATGCAGAATTTCAACACCTTCTAAGGATGAATCCAGACAATTATTTTTTTCTCCTCTCTTGCTGGCCTGACTGGATATTATATCTGTTAATGCCCTCTAAGCCTCTTTTCAGTCTGCTAAGTGTCATATGTATTTTCTGTGTCCCCACATTGTTTTTCTGTTCCCATATATTTGCTGGCACTTTTAATGCCCTTCTTATGTTCAAATTTCCAGCTTCCTTGCTCTGATATTTGATGAATAATGTTATATTCTTCTTTCACAGAGAGGGAAACTGTGTCACTATAGATCCATGAACCATAAGTTTCTATTTGTTTAAGTTCAGCACTTAACAGGAGTCAAGTAGTGTGGAGTTAGGGGAAATTCACATCTTGAAATGTGGATTGAGTCTATAAAACCATTAAAATTTATTTTCCGCTGGAGAATTGAGAGGTTGAGCCATTAACTTAGTGAATTTGCAGAGGTTTCCCAGAAGCTTAGTCAAATCTATTGTTTGTATCATGTTAAATCTATTCTACTTATTACCCTAATAGCATAAATGACCACTCATGCAATGGAGAGTGATAAGATTTTCCTAACAGTGCCTCCGAAAACTCAGGGTCACTTTGAAACTAGCTAACCTAGAGAAACAACTCTATTAAAACAATATGAGTTTTCTGAAGCTTGTATTCTCTTAGGGACTTTTCTGGTTATTTGGGTTTATGTATAAACAGACAGACAATCCATAACAACCTTTCAGTGGTAAACGCAGGGATGTCTCCAGGAGTCTGGCTTTTTGTGTTGTGTGTTCTTTTGGGTTTGTTTTGTTTAACAAGACAATAATAATGAACATAACAGGCATCCTAAAGGACAGTGATGATGAGCATGGAAACTCTAGGTTTCTTATAAATATTTTAAATATTTAAAAAATGAACAAGTCTTTAGAATGTCGATTTATTTTTGTTACCTTTTTTAGGGTGTCTAAGCACTATACTCTCTTCCTATGAAAATTCAAAAACAATCTACTAGTTGTTTCTTATTCCACTGGTCAAATGAGATGAGCACAATCCAAAAAATGTTGTGTATCAGCAGGGACCGCTCTCTCAGTGACCTCCAAAGTAGCAATAACAAAATACAGGAAAAGTTCTGCACACAATTAGCTATTTTGGGAAGGTAAAAGACTGTTCCAAATTGAAGAAATTATACAGTTCTTCACATTCAAGTGCTTCAAACTAGAGATCTGAGAGATACAAAAAGAGTCTACATGCTCAGTCAATGCATTTCTGAACTTAAATACTTACTTTAGAACTTGTAACAGAGATTTTTTTTTCTAGGACAAGGGAACGTGAGAAAAGTTTAGAAAATGCTTCATCTAATTTAAGCCTTAGAAATCTTACCTTAAATCAAGGTCTTGTGAAGACAATAGGAGTCTCTTTTTTTTCTCATCTAAAGGACCTGAAATTGTAATCAGACCCTTTGCAAATTTCTCTGAGAACAGGGCTGTAGGCCAGTTGTTTGTCTGAAGATCCCATTTGTAAAAGACTGGCCAAAAAGAATCATATACTTTTAAAAATTACCCTTTTTTAAGCCTATGTGTCAGAGTTAATTCTTAATCTTTTAAAGACCCAATATGTAACTTTGCATTACAGCATCTTTGATAAGGTGCAGAATGCTTGTCTAAAATTGTCTAAAAGTGTATGCATCTGAAACCACTCAGGTTGCTAGGGTATTTCAATTACATTTATTTTGAAGTAATTATTTCTTTTCTATAGTAATACAGACTGCATAATTGTACTTTTGCTTCCAACTGTGGCTTAATGGTAGCAATACGTGCTGGTAGCAAAAAGGGAAAGAGAATTTATTGATGGAGTAGAAGGTATTTGCTATGTTGTACCTCCCTCAGCATTTTTCTCAGCAAGGTAGAATTAATGGGGGATTGCGTGACCTCTAAATGTGCCTGAACTCTACTACATTCTGAAAGGATCATTGTCCAGAAGGCTGTTTAAAATAATTTCCTTAAAAGGCCATTGGCAAGTGCCTAAAACCTCTATTGATCCTGGTCCAGCAGGAAATAACTTCCCAATCTGAGCAACTAAAGAACTGCAAACTTCTTAGCTGCACATGTGCCCTAAACTGCTTGGAAGTAAGAAAAGCAGAGAAAATGTTTCCTGCTAAATATAGGGAAAACAAATTCTTGATGATTACAGATATCAGCAAAATGCTTGACAGAATGAAAATGTGCCTTTAAATTGATGGTGGTCGAGAGCATTTAGCCCATCAAGAACATCTTACAAGTTCATTTATTGCATATGTTTTGATAAGGAAAAAAAAAGAGAAAATTACTTAGGCTATTAAAAGATTAACCAGCAGGAGAAGATGAGACAGTC